ATATACTCAAATTAAGTTCAATTTAAATATTTGTAATTAAACTCAATATTCTTGACTCTATTCTGTACTCCAGAATCAATTCAAGAATCAGTGACTGAATGGAGACGTTGTTTGTGAACGACTGCAACGAATAAACGGTTTTTAAATTTAAAAGTCATTTGATTTGAAAACTTGTGAAAAGTGTTGTGTTTTTGAAGTGATTTAAAAGGCATTGAAATGAACGGCAAATCAAATCCAAACCAATTGTTCACCAAATGGTTGACTGAATGGCGAAACAATGCTCGAGAGGTCGGCTCGAAGATGGAGTTCGTCTACAATAAGGTCTGTTTAAGAGCTGATCCATTGGTGACCACAAAATGATTATATTTGTCGTGTTATGCATTGATGGATAGGCTTTGCGGTCACTTCGTGAACATCCGGACCCTTTGGCCACTGGACACGAGTGCAAACAACTGAAGGGCTTCGGCGAGAAGATATGCAAACGGATTGATCAGAAGTTGGCTGAAGTTAACGGCACTACTAATGACACGGATGTGGTGTCCACTGAAGACAACCCGCGATTGACAGCCATTCGAGAGGTCCGACAAATCACTGATTTATTGCCGCAGAAGAAGAAGAGACAACTGAAGAATACACCGAATAAAGCGTTGAGTCCTTCTCGAAAAGTTCCCAAAACTAAGAGAAATACTAATTATATTCCGAGTGAGGGTTCGGGCGGTTATGCGATACTAATGGCTCTAATCAGGTCTGAATTGGAAGATAATAGCGACTCTTTAGGCAAATCAGAGCTCCAGAACTTAGCGCAAGAGTTCACCACAACATCGATGACATCGGGAGTGAATGGCAGTCATTATAGCGGTTGGCATTCAATCAAGACTTTGATTAACAAGAATTTGATCGAAAGAAGTGCTCACAGATTGAGTTCATATTACTTGACTCCTGAGGGAAGGGAATTGTCTCTCAAATTGTATACAATGTATAAAGAAAACCATAAAACCAGTGAAAACACTGACGAAGTATTGGATGCAAGCAATAGTGACAGCAGTGACTCGGAGTCCATATTTCCAGAGAGTGTTGTTCCCAATCCTTTCGTCAGAAGTGATTCGCAATCAACTATAGAGAGACCATCACAACA